AGAGAAGGTAGGAAAGTAAGGAAATTTCTGTTGCTTTGCAGTCCTAAGAAAAGCAGGTGAAACATATTTTCAAGTCGGTTTAGTCATTTCTTTGTATTTCCAAAGTCTTGTTCTATAATTAAACTCTGAAGATCCTTGAATTTCTGCAAAGAGCATTCCAGGCTTACTGCACTGTGTTGTTCACTTTGAGGTGTTGGGAAGTTCCAGAACCTAGGCAGCTGGTTCTCTGTCCACATACCTGTCCTGTTCCTCTCATTTTTTTTTTAAGATTTTATTTACTTATTTGAGAGAGAGAGAGAGAGAGAGAGAGAGAGAGAGAACACAAGCAGGGGGAGGGGCAGAAGGAGAGGGAAAAACAGACTCCCTGGGATCATGACCTGAGCTGAAGGCAGATGCTTACCTGACGGAGCCACCCAGGTGCCCCCCCCCTTATTTTTGCTTCGGCTCTGAGACCTTTGTTTGAGTGCATTGGCCTCCCAGGGCAGCCACCTCAGGTTTCCCAGGGGAAGAGCAGCCTCCAAGGGTGGGGGGCTGCCCCGGGGCCAGCACTGCTGAGACCCTTGCAGTGTTCTGTGGGTCCTTATTCTCCCTTCTCTGTCTCTGCCCTGCAGAGAAAGAAGATATGAAGGTGCTGATTCTGAAGCATGCTACTTGTCTTAGGGGTTTCAGCTGCCTAGCCGAGGATGCTGGGCCCTCAGGCTTTTACATCACCCCTGGCTGTATCTGGGCATGTAGGTGAACAGGTAGAATGTGGAGAAAGAAGCTTCTGGAGGCTCAAGATTGGGTCCAGGTGCACTGACTGCACCCTTCACTGACTGGCTTTTATTGAGTACCTTTGAATGGACAACAGGGACTCCTGTCCACAGCCCCATTCTTTAGAGCCCCCTTGCAGCTGTGACTGTCTCCATGGCATCAGGAGTCTGTGGGCCCAAGAGGATATTCCTACCTGGGTCCAGGCCACTCCTTCTAAGCCAGCTCAAGGTACTAGGACCCCAGGATTCCTGCCAGTAGTGCTGAGGGCTGGAGTGGACTCCATCCCTGGATCTGTGCATCTAAGGGTGGACCATGCCACCAGTTTGCATGTCTTTAGACCCCAGGGACAGCCACTGGTGGGACGCGGATGGAGTGTGGGCATGGTGTCCACATTTGTATGTACAGGCCCCTTGTGGTGTATGTGTGTGGGGCTGGGGTAGGAGGAGAAGCAGGTGGGCAGCCTGCTGGGGGCCGGCTCTCTTGGTATTGCCACATTCTGGTGCAAAACTCCAAGGAGTCCAAGAAATTCTAAATTTGAAACTGGCTTTCCCTGTTGTTATGAAGTTATATTTGTCAAGATAGGAGAGCAGAACATTCTATCTAGCACTCTGCTAGCTTGGCTTACACTTTCTGAATACTTAGTGTCATGCTCTGGAGGTTTCCATCTGTGCTGTTGTTACCCTGCGCCGGGAAATATTAGGAGAGGGCCTGATGGTGTCCCCATGGGCACCTGCAGGACCAGGAGCAGCTTCCCATTTGGCTGGATTTGGGGCACTGCCGCGTGAAAAATGCTCACCCTGTGAACGTGGACATAGAAGTCTATAAGCCTTGAGATGACTCTGGAATCAAGGCATCTGCAGAGGATGTGCTGGAAGGTTCTGTGGGAGAGGAGAGCTGGGGAGGCTCAGGGGGAGGAAGGACAGTGCCTGAAGAGAGGACAGTGTGGGGTGATGTTATGAGCTCAGCTGGGTCCCCCCGAGTCTTATGTTGAAGCTTCAGTCCCCCACGTGACTGCATGTGGAGGTGGGGCCATTAAAGAGGTGATTAAGTGAGGTCATATGAGTGGGGCCCTGATCCAGTAGACTGGTAAGAAGAAGTTATTTGTAAGAGGGGCCGGGACACAGAGGTATAGAGGGAAGACCCCCGTGAAGATACAGCGACAAGGCGGCCCTCAGCGAGCCTCTGCCTACATCCGGATGTGGGACTCCCTTCCCCTACTGTGAGACAGCGAGTCTGTTGTTGAAGCCCCCCAGTGTGTGGCGTTTTGTTATAGCGGCCCCAAGCGAAGATGGGGGTGGGTGAAAGTGGTAGCACCAAGTGGCAGGTGAGAAGGTGAAACGGTGGTTTGGGCAGAGCCGGATCAGAGCGGTGAGCCAGGGGGGGTGGGCGGGGCCGCGACAGGAAACGGAAGTGCCTGCCCTGAGAGGCAGAAGGAGGCGGGCCTTCCTGGCTCACACGTGCGCATCCTCAGTCTGCAGGAAGTTCCTGTTGGCCCATCCGGAGGAGCGGGGGCGCCTGTGGGAGGTGGAGCCCCCAGGAGCCTGGGGCCAGAGAGGCAGCATCTGGCTGAAGGTTCAACTGCAGCAGTCAAGACCTCCAGACTGTGAGTCACAGTGAGCACTGTGCCCTTTGAAGCCCAGGTTAATGCGTACGGATGGAGTCAGGTCGGGACAGGTGTTCTGTTTACTGTTGCAAGAACCGAGTGGGGAGGGAGACCAGAGTGGGGGCTTCTTGTCCTTGGCCCACCGTCCTTTCCTGAACGAACCACACCTTCTAAACCTTGCGCTAGATCTCCTCCAGTTTAGCTAAATCGGAAGCTCCCTGGGACGGAGGGGCACTTCGTTTATAACTAGAAGGGATCTCTGAAACCTAGATGAATGTGTGCACCTGGTTAACAATTGGAAGGCCACACAAGGGTTTACTCTGAAGAGCCAGCCTTCCATGCCCCCTCCTGCCCCCCTTGTGGGAGATGACACGCAGACGTCAGTGGTAGCGTTACATAGCATTCTGCAAAGGAGTACCTTGTCCTTCCTGTCCTTTTTACTGGCAGCATAGTATGCTGCTGGGCAGAGATGTTGCTTATTTGGGCAGCCCCGGTTACAGACAGACACTGTCCTCAGTTTGGGGTGTTAGAGCGCCTCGGTGAGTTTGCGGGCGGGATGTTTGATGGAGGGTGTTTTCAAGCAATGAGAACAGGTGGAGGGTCCCAGAGGGAGGCAGCGGGTGGGAAGACCAGACATACTGGTGTCTGGTTCTCCAAGTTGCTTTTTAACAGTGTGTCTTCCACCTCTCCCACGTTGAGCATGGATTGCACACTGCTGGTGGTTCTTAGCTCAGTGCTCGAGGTGAGGGTCCCTGGGGGCAGGGCCGGATCCGTGCAGAGCCCTTCAGGCTGCAGGTGCAGTGTATGGGGGTGGGAGGTGCAGGAGGTTCTAACAGTTTAAGTTCACTGGCCAAAGTGAAAGCCCTGGCTTTTCTTCCCTCCTGGGAAAGAAAGCTCCTGTCAGCATCAAATGCCACATCCCAGGCTGCAGGTAGCTCATTAGGGGGCAGTGGGTAACTGATTTACCTTAGGTCATGACAGGGAAGAGTGCCTTGGAGTTTACTGATGATAACAGTGATAGGTTTTGTTTTTATGGTGCTTTTCAGCTAGAAGGCTTAATGGATCTTCACAGATATTAATGGGGTGACCAGGCACCTGGGAAGGAGGCCGTGGCAGGGCTGTGACTACGATCCTAATGAGGCGGTTAAGTGACTTGCCCTGTGGCATCCACAGTTAGAAATGAAGGGGGAGCTGGCCTGGGTCCCTATGCACTAAGCTGAACAGCACTTCACAAACGAGCCTGCAGCTCCCACGTGGACGAGGCCTTTGTGTCTTGGATGTTGCACTTCCTTGGCTGGGAATGAAAAAAAAAAGTTTGCGTATCAGAATGTGGAAATAATGTGGAAATTGCACAGGCCAGAGGGGGGTAAAGAAGGGGAGGAGGTTTTCTCATAATTGGGGAGATTGCTTTCCTCCGAAGAGAATTCCTCTGGGGGTTATTTCAAGAGCTGAGAGTTGGTGTGGTCTGGTCACAGGAAACTGAGCTGGAAGTCAGATGCCAGACCTGTCACTTCAGCTCACTCTGTGAGATTTGCCAACTCTCTCTTTAAAACAGCAAATGAGGGAACTTTGACAGAGAATGTTCCAGAAGCATGCTTGGAGTCCTTTGAAGGAAGAAGGGTCATCATTATAATTAGGATAAAATTAGATTACTAAAACTATGTAATTAAAAAAAATCTAAATTATGATCTTTTCACTCCCTGTATAAATCATGGCTAGTTCCCAGTTTTCACCCACAACTTCTGTCTCCCCCAGGGCCAGCAGTCAGGATTTTAATTCACTCAGGAAGGTTTTCAGCCAGCCAGCTTCATCTTGTAACAATTTTGTCAGCACTGACATTTCAGGTTTTTTCCGGGTTGGTGAGTGGGGGCTGCAAATGCAATCACAGATTAGCCCAGATGCTCTGCAGTTTCTCAGTTTCAGTCTGTCTGCCTTCTTGGAAATCTGCAAGTGTTAGCCCATTAGATTTTCCCACAGGTCACCAAACAGTGCAGGTTCTGGAATCTTCCCTTGCCTTGGAAATCTCACACAGCCGTTTAATTTAATTTTAGTTTTTAATCAGTTATTCTTAGAGTTGCTTTCTTGAATTGTTCTGTTTTTCAAGTTCTATCTTTTGTTCCTTTATTTCTGACTGTTATTTTGGAGGTTTCCTACAATTTCATGTGCTGTAGAAATAGAACTGTAAGCAAGAAGCCCAGTGGAGCCAATTGCTTTTTACGTTCTAAGTAAGGCATGGACATTTTACATTGTTCCAAAGGGAAATTAGCTTGTGCTCCTTTCAAATGTTTCAAAATCTGTTTTTGAAGCTGCGGCCTTTATGGACTAGGTCTTTTAAAGTTTCCATGGATCTTGCCTATTGATAACATCTGTGGCTTTTAATGGCCCTGAAAATATTTACAGGCTTTTCAGAACTTTAGAGAGAAGGAGTTTGTGGGAAATTTTTTTCTTCCTACACTCAGTTACATATGAAGCCTTTGAAACTTGACCAATAGGATCATAATATTATCTGGTGTGACTTCTCAGCTTGCACATGCCTTAAGTTTCTTTACTGGAGGAGACGAAATTGAATGCTCCAACAGTCGAAAAGTTCCTTTACAAAAGTGTGGCTGGAGGCAGAAAGTAATTGCACACAGCTTTAAAAATTAATTTTTTCATTCTTTAGGTTATAGTTTTGCCTTCTTTCCAGGTGAATTTTTAATAGTTTCAATCATCGTCCATAGGGAAAATAATTTTATTCTATTTACATTTAATTTTTAATGCTAGAGTGTACATGAAAAGATGTGAAATATTTGACCTGGGGAGGCGGGGTCATTTTTCTAAAAGTCCGAATCCTAGCAAACTGCAACTCTAACTTTGTCTCAGCTTGTTCTGGCGAATTGGACATTATATAGTGCAGTAGTAATAACAATTTTATGGTGGTGAGCTATGGTGGGAAGTGTTGAGAGCAGAACCACTTTCCTGGATGGGATTTTGCTAATGCTGCTCTTTGAAAGGTTGTATGGCTCCCTCTAGTGGCCATTTTCATCTATTGCGTCCTGTATGGTAACTCCTGGATGGTAACTTACTTTGACCTACCTGTTTGGTGGCTTCTCAGATTCTTATCCTAAATCTTCCAGATTAGAGCATTCATTTTAAAAGGTTATTGGACCTTTATTGGTTAGGAATAAAATACAAGTAAACATTTGGTAGTTTCTAGCATGTTTTAGTCCATACCACATAAAAACATAGTTTCACACATCAGTTAGGGTAGAAAATAATGGATTGTCTACTTCATTCTCTCATTCATTCACTCATTCATTCATTTATTCATTCGTTCATGTATTTTCTCATTCATTCAATAAATTACTGTGATGGAGGATCTGCCAGTGCCAGACCACTGGCAGAGGTGATAAGGATACAGTGGTTAATAAAGCTGGCTGAGTCTCTGAACTCATTTATGAGCTTACATTTTTGCAAAGAGAACTACGTGGGCAACCATTACTGCATAATATAGAAACTCCAAGAGAGTACTAAAGTATGCTGGTATTGGGTGCCTGGGTGGCTCAGTTGGTTAAGCGACTGCCTTCGGCTCAGGTCATGATCCTGGAGTCCCGGGATCGAGTCCCGCATCGGGCTCCCTGCTCGGCGGGGAGCCTGCTTCTCCCTCTGACCCTCTTCCCTCTCGTGCTATCTCTCATTCTCTCTCTCTCAAATAAATAAATCTTTAAAAAAAAATAAAGTATGCTGGTATTTTTAAATACTTACGATTCAATTTTGCCAAACCAAAGTTGGCTAATTCATAAAGTTTGTAAATAAACTTTATAATTTATGTATATAGGTAACAACTAAATAATATTTGAAAAGTTTGTTTCTTTTTTTTTTTTTTAAAGTAGGTTCCTTGGGCCGCCTGGGTGGCTCAGTCGTTAAGTGTCTGCCTTCGGCGACCCTGGGATCGAAGCGTCTGCCTTAGGCTCAGGACATGATCCCAGGGTCCTGGGATTGAGCCCCGCATTGGGCTTCCTGCTCAGCGGGAAGCCTGCTTCTCCCTCTCTCACTGACCTTGCTTGTGTTCCTTCTCTCGTTGTGTCTCTGTCAAATAAATAAAATCTTAAAAAAAAAATAAAGTAGGTCCCACGCCCAGCGTGGAGCCCAGTGCAGGGCTTGAACTCACGACCCTGAGATCAAGTCCTGAGCTGAGATCAAAAGTTGGATTCCTAACTGACTGAGCCACCCACGTGCCCTGAAAAATGTGTTTCATTAGAATTTTCAGCTCAAATGGGAAACTGAATATTTTTTTCCGAAAGGATCTGAATGCCCTCTCAACACACACATACCTCCACATAGAGATTATGGGGTGTAGGAATCCCACACAGTGGGGTAATAAAGTCATCCCTTTCCAAGTTGGGACTGATTTGGTAAAAGGGGATGGGGGGCTAAATTAGAAAGTGTGATTACAGGCTCTCTTATGAGTAAAAATTCCAGTGAGCAAAGAGGAGAAGGGCCTAGGAATAAATGGCACTGGAAACTGACTCCATTTAATGTCTGACTAATTGGAAGAAAAGATCATATTCCAGCTCAGAAATGTTTGAGTAGAACCGTCATTTCCCGTCTCCCCAAACCTGACAGGTTTCCCTGTCCTCTGGAGAGTACCATAGCAGGTGTCATAGTGTAAGTCAGGAGGATGGAATTGGGTCGTGGTGATCAGTGCTTTTGGAGAGGTCCCCAACGTATTAATCTTTTGATTGTCCATTCCCCCCGGAGCAACCCCCATTTGTTTATCCTGCTCTCTTGCTTGGGGAGGGCAGCTCACCCAGGAAATGCCAAGGAGAATGTGAGCAGTCAAGGGCGGACGTCTCCAGATGATGGACCCAGACAGTCTGAAGAAGGCAAGAAGGTAGGTGGTGAATATGTCATTCTAGGAATGGGTCTTGTTTACTTAGCAATCATGTTATGCTTGTTTAGGGGAGCTCTAAACCTGCAAGTCATCTTCCTAATCACCTTGGCTTTGGGCTTCTCCGTGGCAGTGGGTCGTTGATTCATACTCCGAGTCTCCGTCCTGTGGTATGAGGAGAGGCCTTCGTAATTAGACTTCTCTGAGGACCTATTTACTCTTGGTCCTTTTCTCTAAACTTGACGAAGCTCTAATGAAGCCAGAACTAGACAGAGCACGTGGGAATCAGCCGTAACCTTGCACTGTTAAGGAAATATTGAAAAATCTGAATTTCACATTCTGCCGTGGACCGGCGTCTTTCAGGCAGAGCAAATGTGCGGACAGATTTCTTTCCTTCCTCCTCCGCCCCTCGAGCCCCGATGCTGGAACATGGAATACGGCATTAGGTTGTCGTAGAACCCAAGGTGATGGGAGAAGAGAACTGGGGACGAGGATGGCTGCTAAGTATTTCTCCGTAGCCCACTGTCTGTTCAGTGTTTTGTAAGACTTTGAAGCGATGTGATTCCATTAAGTGTTTTCCTGAAGCCAAGAAAGACCCTAGCCCATGCCAGGTAATTTTGATAACATCCATTTTCTGCTACGGAGGGGTCTTTGCTCTTGAAGTCCTAAAAAGTTGTTAATGATTTTAAACTCTAGAACTTAGAATTGCAACTTGTGAGCAATACTGCTTATTTTGGAAAGGAGATGGTACGGGGATGGAAGACTCAACGTTGAAGGCATAAGATATCCCAGAAAGTGCTGGATTGTTTTAGAAAGGCTGGCAGAGGAGGGCTTTCCTTTTCCTTGGTTTACAGTGGAAAAAGGGGCTCATTGATGGCCTCCAAGGCCGCTGAACTGAAGAGTATTGTGCTTCGCCTCTTTGCTGATCCCCGACTTTGCTCTTAAGCCTTGAAGGCCGTTAGAGGAAGCAGGAGGTTCAGTGTGACGTCACGCCCGCCGGCAGGTGTCTGGGGAGGTCCACATACTCAGACGTAAGAGCGCCACCTTTTAAAGTAGTGCTTCTTTGCTTTGCTCTTTCTCTGATCTCCGTGGCCTGGGCTCTTCAGTTCCTGTCAGGACGTACGTTCCCACCAGTAAATAGGTCCTCAGAGCATCTTATGAACAAAACGCGGGGTCCTCGTGGCTGGCCGGGGTGTTGGAGCCCGGCTCATCCGGCCAGAATCTGAGCGTGCAGTGTGTGCAAGGGCCCGGCCCGGCCACGACACCGGCAGGCCCCTAACGGCAGGCACTGGAAAGCTTTGTTGATTCTTTTCTGATTCAGGAGAGGACCCGCGGAGAACGGGAAGAGACAAAGAGTGGTCAGGACTGTGGAGTGAAAGAAGCAGCAGCGGGGCGGCTTGGACGAGTCTGCGCGGCCAGGCCGGAGGGGAAGGAGACCAAGAGGACTGCGGTGGATGCGGGGCTGGTCTGGGAGTCCCAGCAGAAGCACCTGCGGCCCAGCTCCTGACTCTCAGAGGCAGACCCGAGTCGAGAGGCCTGCCTGGGCCCCAGGGGACAGGGGCGTGAGAGCTGCTTCTGTCACTGCCTGCTCGCGTGCCCGGGAGCTGGCCTCTGCCCCTGCTGTGTGCTGTCCTTTGAGGAGAAAGGGACAGCACAGACCCCACCCACCTCAGGCTTGGTTTGTGGGCTCAGGTGATAGAAAGCCTAAGAAAGTGCTTCATTCCTCCAGCACGGAGAGCCACGCAGGCTGCTATTTTCCTGAGCTCAGATCCCAGAGGCGTGTTTGTTAAACCTAATATGGTTTCTGTTACTCGGGATGAATTCATAAAGACTGTACGGGAACCACTCGAATATGCCTCTTTTTGAGTGCAAGGAAACTCCGAGAAGGGCCACGCCCATTCTGGTCTGCGCTGCAGAGCTCTGTCTCAGGTTTGCCCCCCCCCCCCCCCCCCCCCCCCCCCCCCCCCCCCCCCGGGCCAGATGTCACCGTGAGACCACAGGCACTGGAAAGGTTTCTAGGGGAGACACGGTTCTTTTCCGGAGAAGCTTCTGCGTTGAGGGCGGTGGCCCGGACTGCCTGAGGCACACCGTTGGTTGGCGCCTCGCCCGCCTCTGGCCCAGTGGGCTCCAGGCGGGCCTCAGGATCTTCGCGTCACTTCATTCAGAGGGGAAGCCACCGGTGGGGGCCTTGTGCTGCTGGCCCTTCCAGCCTACGGCGCCGTGAGGGAAAAGGCTTGTACTGGTCAAGGCGATTGTGATGGCTCCTGGCCTCCTCAGCCACTGTCACCCCCTGCTCGGGGCATGTGCTTGGGGATTCGGAGCTGAGTCGAGGACCCTGCCCGTAAGACCCCGGTGAGGACAGATGAGGCAGGCCTTCCACAGGGTAAGGCGCAGTGCAGGCTGCTTCCTGAGGCCCCAGCGCCCCCGGAAGCTGCTGTAGGCCTTTCTCTGCAGCTGGCCAGGCCTCACTGATGGTCAGTTGGGTTCTTAACCTTCGAACCGGCAGGGGCTGGCTGGGTCGTCTTGGGGCAGGCAGCCCCGTCCCAGCCCCTACTTGTGGGTGAATGCACATCGGATCTTATCACTGGGCACACCCCTCTGAGGCTTTATCACTGTCTTTGGAGCACCTGGCGCCCTGATGACTCAGCCTTGAGCAGAGTCGACCTTGCCTTCTGTACCCCGGCTGCCTGGGCTTTCCCGTCCTCAGACACTCCTGTGCTCTTGCTTCGGGGTCGGCACTCGTGCACTCGCTGTGCCCTGGGCATGTGCCTTTTCCTCCCTCCCTCCCTGCCTCTGTCCTTCTGTCTGTCTGTCTCTCCCTCTCACCTCACCTCTGCGTGCGTGTGCGTGCGCGCGCACACACACACACACACTTGTCAGTCAGGCTGACTCCTGCTCACCTCTAGTCTCAGCTTTGATGTCCCTTCCTGCCACCTGTTTCCCCCCTTCCCATATGGCCTCAAAGCACTGGGCACTCGGTTGTGACTCCCAGGAGCCACCAGCAGGGTCAGCCCTGGGCCTGCTCAGTTGCCCCTTGTGTCCTCAGTAACTGTGGGGAATGAATGGTAACAGATCACCTTGGGGGGGAGGTGACACCTTCCTTCTGTTCCTCTGTGGCTAGACCCTGGAGATGGATAGAAGAACAGGTTCAGCTCTTTAGGGGTATAGTAAAGCCCATCCTGGAGCCTCGGGATAGGGAGGAGACCACCAGCACCATATGCTGGCAAGATACTGCTATTTCCCTGAGTGGTCAGAGGGCACATCTGATGGGACCTCTGTTACTTATTTACTCATCCATCTATCTGTCCACCCACCCATCCACCCAGCTGTCAGTCCATTCATCCATCTATCTACCCACTTACCTCTCCATCAGTCCACATTTGTCCATTCATCTGCCCATCCATTTATTTGATGGACTCAACTGTCCATCTGTCCACATCTGTCCGTCCACCCATCTGATCATCTGTTTGTCCTTCCATTCATTTATCCATCTACCCACCCGTCTGTCCATCTGTCCTGACATCTATCCATCCATCAATCCAGTTGTCCCATCTATCTGCCCATCTACCTGTCAGTCCATCCATGTGCCCATATCTGCCCCTTTGTTTATCTCTCCATCCATCCATCTCTCCATCCATCCGTCCTGATGTACGACAAATACTCAGCATGCTTGCTCAGGTCTGAGCTCTGTGCTGGGCACTGGGGATAAGTGAAATGTGTTTACTGGACTCTAACTCTTCTCTCTGGAAGGGTCTCTTCTAGAGTGTTCCCCTGGAGTTGTTGTCTTTCACCCATTAGAAAGAGGGAAGAGTCCAGTGGAAAGAAGTAGAGTTTAGAGCTCTGTACGGAGACCTCATGAAGTCCCCCGGTGCATGTGGGCCCCTCGTGAATGAGGCACAGACCATAAAAGTGGGCTCTGCAACCAGGGGGTGCTCTATGTGTAATGGCAGACATGGTCTTTAATGTGTGACTTGGTGGGTGCTGTGAACTTGGCACCGTTCAGGTGAATGGCTGGTGCTTTGTGTTTACATGGAAATGAACCGACAAAAATGTCTCAGGGCTTTGATGAAGTTACTGTTCAATAAAAGCATCCTCCCAAGGGAGAAGAACTGATGTGTTGGTGTAGTTCATTTAAAGATGTAAAGACAAACCCTGCAGAGTTAGAAGGAAACACCCTGGAACTCCAAGCAACCCCCTCTCCAGCCAGTGACACAGATGAGTTGGGTCTGGGGCCGTGTGCAGTGTTCCCTTCTGTGAGGCTTGTATGGGGAATGTCCATAAAGCATGTGTGTGTGCGCATGTGTGTTGTGTTGTTTTTGTTAAATCAGTAATTTACAAACCATAAAGTTAATTTCATTTGAAGTATACAATTCCGTGGTTTTTAGTATATTGACAGAGTTGTGCAATCAACACCACAATCAGTACCCCAAAAAGAAACCCTGTACCTATTAGCAGTCTCTCCCTTTCCCCCCACCCTCAGCCCAAGGCAACCACAAATCTTTCTCTCTCGATAGATTTGTCTGTTCTAGACATGTACAAGTAGAATTATACTATGTGTGGTCATTTCCATCTGGCTTCTTTGCCTTGGCATAATTTCTTTTTAAGGATTTTTTAAAACAGATTTTTTATTTATGAGAGAGAAAGTGAAGGAGAAGCAGAGGGAGAGGGACAAGCAGACTCTGATCTCAGGACCCTGAGATCATGACATGAGCCGAAACCAAGAGCTGGGCGCTTAACTGACAGAGCCACCCAGGTACCCCTGGCATGATGTTTTTAAGGTTCATTCACATTGTAGCTTGTATCAGTACTTTGTTCCTTTTTTAAAATTTAAATTCAATTAAATAACATATAGTGTATTATTAGTTTCAGAGGTGCAGTGTAGTGATTCATCAGTTGCATGTAACTCCCAGTACTCATTCCATCACGTGCCTTCCTTAATGCCCATCACCCAGTTGTCCCAGCCCCCCATCTGTCTCCCCTCCAGCAACCTTCAGTTTGTTTCCTATAGTTAAGAGTCTCTTATGGTTTGTCTCCCTCTCTGATTTCATCTTATTTTATTTTTCCTTCCCTCTTTGTTCCTTTTTATAGCTGAATAATGTTCCATTGTATGGGTATACTGCATTTTGCTTACTTATCTGTTTACCAATTAATGGACTTTTATTTTTTACAAAGATTTATTTATTTATTTTAGAGAGAGAGTGTGAGTGAGCTTGGGGAGAGGCAGAGGGAGAGGGAGAGAGAATCCCAAGCAGACTCCCCTCTAAGCACAGAGCCTGACATGGGGCTTGACCTCACCACCCTGAGATCATGACCTGAGCTGAAATCAAGAGTTGGATGCTTAACTGACTGAACCACCTAGGCGCCCCCAATTAATGGACTTTTAGATTGATTTCTTGGCTATTACCAGTAATGCTGCTTAGAACATTCATGCGTAAGTCTTGATGTGGACATACTCAGTTCTCTTGGGTATATACCCAACAGTGGAGTTTCTGGGTCATAAGGTAACTCTATGTTTAACTTTTTGAGGAACTGCCCAATTATTTTTTGAAGTGATTACACCATTTTACGTTCCTTCCAGCAGTGTGTGAGGGTTCCATTTTCTCCCCATCCCGGCCGGCGCTCGATGCTAGTCATCTTTTTGCTGATAGCCGCCATCCTAATGCTTGAGAGCTGGCATCCCATTGTGGTTTTCATGTGTATTTCCCTGATGACTGATGACGTGGAGCACCTTTTCCTGTACTTGCTGGCTCCTTTTATGTCTTCTTTGGAGAAATGTCTACTCAGATCCTTTACCCATTTTTTCATTGGGTTGTCTTTATTACTGAGTTGTAACAGTTCTTTAGATATTTTAGAACCAAGTCTTTCATCACATATGTCGTTTGTAGAGAATTTTTCCTATACCGTGGGTTGTCTCTTCACTTTCTTGATGGTGTCATTTGAGGTGCAGCATTTTGAATTTTGATGATGCAGTTTATCTACTTTTCTTTGGTTGCTTGTGCATTTGGTGTTGCAGTAATGATTGTGTCTTATAAATGCAGTCCATCTAAAGGGAGTTTTTGGGGAGAAAGTTTTTTGAGTATACAATGATTATAGAAAAATCCGCAAAGGAGTCATTACTTAGAAGAAAGCCATCTCTGGATCCCAGGCTCATGTCCTATATGAGGTGCATTGCCTTGCGCGTTGTCCCACTCCAAGCTTACCATATGACCCAGAAATTTCCTTCTGGGTACATAACCAAGAGAACCGAAGAACTGTGGCCAAAAAACATGTACACAGATGTTTAACTGAAATCAGACGCAAAGCCCATCAGTTGGTAAATGGATAAACAAAGTGTAGTATATCCATACAGTGGAATATTATTTAGCTATAAAAAGGAATGAAGTACTGATACATGCTACACTACGGATAAACCTTAAACACATTATGCTAAGTGGGAAAAACCAGATGGGAGGTGGGCAGAGGATGTTGGGAATCCGTGGTCTTCCAGAAGCTTGCCTCCCGGATTTGGGGTTGGGCAGTGGTGATGGACATTCACTTTTGCGTACTGGGGCCTCAAACAGATTTTCTTTTGGGGAGTAGGGTTTCAGGCTATCTTAGCATCAGATATTTTGTTCCAGGAAGTCTTTGAGAACATGCCCTTTGGCATGAGGAAGAAAGAAATCCAACTGGTTGGCTACTTGCAGAAACCTTAGGGACCCAACAGATTATGAGACGATTTCTGAAATCCCTACTTTCTGCAAGAAGCATTCTAAAAGTTTTGATTTTGATTTAGTTCTCTTTCTAGGGAGAGATGGTCAGCATCTGGAAGTTTTGAAGTTAGGTGTCTGGATTTCCATGTCGAGAAGCCA